GGATAGTTTATGTTTGTAAATACTATCATTATTTGACGTTCATATCTGCGCAATTAGAACACTGTAACCTTTTTGTTTCAKACTGAGTTATCTTCTTTGTACGAAGATGATGGGGATTTCAATCGGACGATATTAAAATTTCCTTGATTTTATCCAGACTTTAATCCACTGAATAATGACATATGGAATGGATAGTATAACTGCATCTGCTGGGGTATCTGTGTCAAGTCTTGCACAGGAAACCCGCATAATGACAAGATGATATGACTTATAGTGCGTGTAACGTCAAAAATCTCCGGGACAAATCAAAAAATCTTTGTTTTCTAGGGGGCCATGATCGCATTGTTTTGTCCCAKAGATGGAAATGCATTTCCATGACTCTTAGGGTTCGGAATATCAAAGAAAAGTTTTCATTCTTTTAGCAGCTATATTGTAATCTTACATTATTTGGAAGTACGTGTGGACTTCGTGTGTTTTTGACAATTTTCTCGGTTCTTAAATCTTTAAGTTGTCTGAAACGTCCAGATATTATAGAGAAAAGACTTCTGAACAATCGGCCATCTTGTTTGTTTCCATATATGGCAATAGATTCGCTAAGGGAAGCCCAAAACTAAAAAACACAGGGTTCCCGCACAAATAACAACAATTCTTTGATGACTATTTTAGAAGCGTCGAGAGTAATCCTCATTTATTCTGTAATAGTCCGAATTGAAAGACCATTCTGATGCGTCGTCTTGACTTTCAACATCAATCGACCTGTTGCTTCGCGTGAAGCCATTTGAACGAGAAGAAGTCGAGTAAAACAAACTCTCYGACGGTGTACTCTTTTGTCCTGCGCCTTGGCCCAAGGAATCAGACTGCAACTTAATACTGCTGTAGTCACTGACTGAATCTCGAAGAGACTCTGCTAATGAAAGACTAATTTCAGACATGCTTTTCCTTATTGATACCATAAGGTCATCCTCATCTAGGAATTCAATATCATCGATGTCACTGTTACTTTGGTCAAAATCATTTTTTGTGTAATGAAGAGAATCGTTGTCTTTTAAAGGATTGTTGACGAAAGAAGAATCGATAGTTTGCTGTTGTTCATCCTTATCTGTTAGATAGTCGTATTTTAACTTCTCAGAATTTTTTCTCCGGGATGATGATCTTCTATGTGGCTTGGGTAATGAGGACAGTGCATTTCCCATCCTTTCGATGATGAGCATTATATAATCTTTTAAATGTTCCCACACTTGGGCGTGCTTTATCTCTGCTTTTGCAAAATTTTTTAATGCGATATTTTCAAACATTTCAGGATTTTCATTGGATTCAGCATGTGATACGGCATACGAAAAGTTTAGGATTGCAATAAAAAAGTTTATCAGAATGAATGTCATTATAGTCCGAAGAAGAAACATGTACATGGTACCAACAACGGGACTTAACCGATGAAGAAGTCTGAAATCGATGCTTCCTCCAAACGATCCTAGCTGATATACCTCCAGAAAGGCTCTATGCARGGAAGAATACACGAAGACATTTGAACCAAACGTGATGTGGGCAAGCATCGAGAAAGCAGCAACAGCCAATAAGAATATCACACAGAAGGAGGAGAGAGGCTTAGCTGAACACTTTAAGGAAAGAAGCATCACCAGGATTGGGCGGTTGAAAGAAACTATCTTGATCATTCTGATGGTCAAAATGAACAGAATAAAACCAAACAAGGCGATCTCTGCATCAGTGTAGAAGACCAGTGCTTCTGTTGACCAGTTCTTGTAGGGATTTTCTCTTACCTTTTTGATAAACCTACTGGCAATGTAYGCAACAGACGAGGACAACATAAGAGATCCAACRCATAACAGTAGCAAAAGCATGTCAAGCCAGCTCCACAATTTTCGAAAATAATCACATTTCTTTCGGAATGCTTTCCGAATTTCAAAAATGAAAAGGATGAAAACGTAGATYAATAGAGCRATTTTACATATGTAGAGAAACCCCGCTAGTTTAGAATCTGAAGGAGGGTAGATAGAAATCGATTTAACTGAAGTTCTCACGTAGGCTCCACCGTGAAGAAACTTTTCATACGTGTATCGCACAATGCAAAGCAATCTGCTGGAAGGTTCAAATATTGTGAACTCAATGAAGACAGCTGATGTTYGGTCATCAATCCAGTTATTATTCTCAAGGTCAGCAATTGTTGCCAAAGCAAAGTCTGCTTGGTAACCAAGTTCTGCAATGTAACCACCACTAGAGTGAAAATGACTGCCAAATTCAACGCTTTTGTCATATTGCCAAGCTTTTGGACAGAATATGTTGACATCTGCTTGTGAAATGTTACCGACGGGTCTCCATTTTGGTAAATAGTATGGTCCTTGGTCTTCGTATGTCGTCGAGAACGATGGTATACAACGTTGGAACAGGTYATCAATACAAGGAAAGTTTTCTGATCCTATACATTGCCCAACTGTTGAAAAAATGCAGTAGTCAGTACTAAGAGCGTGAGGRTGAGAGAACTACATGTAAGTAAAATCAACTTATTTTAGAAATGAAAATACCACAGTAATGTTGTGATGTGGTACAATAAAACACGACAACTCTTATTAAAAAGGAGTTGGTGATCTTAGCTACATATGTTAAAATGAAATCTTACTTGGTTTAACCCTTATTTGTCTTAGTTTTGGGACACCAATGACAAAAGCTTCTCGATTACTAAGGTAACCCTCTGGGTACTTRAACTGTTCGTTGTTGTACCATGTTGTGTTGTAAAGTCCAGGAACTAAAACTACTTTCGTCCAATTCCAAAACTCGTTTGGGCGATGGACCTTAACAAAACAAGAAAGAAGTGTTAGAAGAGGATTTTTCACTGTGGAGTTGTAGTTCACTTCCTCAAGCTTTCRCACAACGTATTCATATTCTGGCACTTACAGAACGAACGAATGCATGGACGCCACAAATATTACACCATTTTAACTGATATTGCAATTTTTACATACTTAATTTTAATTCAGTAGCGTGTCGTATTTTATGCATATAGAAAAAAAACATTTAGCTAGCGGAAAAGCTGTGCACAACTACCTTCTCGAACTTTCCAAATATCTCCCTGACAGCTTTGGTGAGCATGAATCCAGATCGATCACGATTTCCATARCACACACTCATGAATAGCAGAAAGAGGACAATTAAGCATGCCATCTTTCGAAGAATCTTRAATAATTTTGCCATTTGCAGGCTATACATCTTTGCTCTTTCGAGCTCTTCTTCCTCTGGTTGTTGKACGACACGGTTGCTTCCTTTGACAACSGACTGTTTACTTATGTTGGTAACGATTTCTTCTTTWGGTGGGGATTTCAAAACAGAGGCAAGAATTCCAGCGATCAAAATTACYTTGATAGGTCCCGTYACAAATACRTCTTGAATGGATGAAACAGCGACAGAAGTGAGCCAGTTATTTGATATTTCTTTGCCCCACTGCATACTGTAGAAGATAACATACACCGCCGATGCTAGAATCGCACCATTRCAGAGGAGCCATGCAATGCAYACCAGCAGTTTCTGGCACCCAGTTTTACTTCTCGTTTCGGAATCTTGATCTTTTTTGCCCTGGCTTTTTTTAAAGATTGTCACAATGATGACATTGACCGGAATGGCAATGATAGCGCTTTGCATACCTATTTTGATGGCGGTCAAACTCAACTTCAAAGGGCCTACAAAAAAGATGTCATCCGCTGTGCGAGCACCTACTTTATAGAACATCGCATTCGCTATCATCGCAGTGAACAGAATTGACATACAGGAAGCAAAACGTTGGCACCTTGTGAAAGGACTGTGTGGCGGCCGGGTAAATAATGAGATCCATAAATGATCGTTTGCAAAGCCTCTTGCTGCACGTATTGTAAAGAAGTCCTTAAACTTACTACTGTCTCCTTTATCAAATGTCTTAGCCTCAAACGATAGACTTCCATCAGCCYGATTAGCAGCTAGCCAWCGATTCACGAAGAAATGCCATTTCTCGTTGGTTTGTGCATCAGTGATGATCACCTGATGTAGATACCAGTCGGGATCATCTCCCCCATTGTTGTGCCACACCCTGATCTTTATAAGTGACCCAAAGGACTCGTCAACAAGTATGTGAAAGGTATTGAGACTGGCACGTGCGAATGGCTTGTTGCTGCCGCTGTCCGTGAGACATATAGGGCCACTACTGTGATTTTCACCAAATATGATCATCCCCACTTCTGCTGTGGTACCACTGTTCTTCCAAATTCCTGTTTCTAGTTGTACCTTGTACTTATAAGGGTTCAGTTCAACGGTTTGCAGCTCAATGGTTGTATTTATCACCTAAACAAAATCGTTAAAAAGGAATACATTATGAGGATATCCACTTTTAGCCCTACTGGTATTTGCGTTAAGATACTTTACAACCAGTTAATCARTGAATGAAGCATGTGAGCAACTGAATCGACGACTAATAGGAATGAATTTATGTACATAATAATGAACCGTTAAATGGTTTACAAAGAGGGTCTAAATGATCACATAATTTGTGTTGACTTCTTACCTTTTCTTCGTCCTTTTTGTCAAAGTGTCTGAAAATTACCAATCCAAGTACATATATGGCCAGCAATACACACACTGTGGCTAGCACTCCGATGTTTCCACTTTCTGAGAGATTTGCAAACGATTTCCATACTTTTCCATAATCAATAGGATTATGGKCTACAAAGAAATCCCCTCCAAACGCTGTCAAATGGTCGCATAGGCAGTTTACATGGGTCTTCGTTGAATGCAAGCCGAGCTGGAAAAATGAATTAATTTAGATATACGGACAATGTTGAAAAGTTTGTTCCATTAAAAAGGCATTTCAATCTTCCAATTGTTATGTGCATCTTATTTCTGATATATATTCATTTTCTGCACGTTGAACATTCAATAGTGTTCATATAAAATATTACAAATGCATTCTCCTTCAAAACACAGCTGACATTCTAGACCATCTTACATGAACGGAAAGTAAGGTGCATATTTGTATAAGTCATGCATGGAAAGTAAAACATTAAAAGTCTTTTTAGATGGTCAGCCTTTTTTAAGATCGTCAGAACAGAATTCACGATTTAGAAAATGATTTGGAACAGAAAATTATTTACTTGGAATAGATTTATATTACTTGGATTTTCCTCACCTTGCATCCATTGCTTTTCCATCTTTGTTGATTTTTGCTCCAAAACATGCAAACACCAGCGGATACCTGTACAGTGTAATTAACATACGGCACTTCGCCAGGACTGATTTGGCGAACTGTCTGATATAGACCTGGAGACTGTGGTGGAGACTTGTACTCTAAACATGATCTTTTCGTACGTCTCTTTTTATCACAAGGGCTTAGGGATCGTTTGATTCTCACTGTTGTAGCTCCTGGTCCATTTGATGATAGCCAATTGCTCGACTGTTTGGCCATCGTACCATTTATTTTGTCACCATAATATAGTACACCTATGTAATGCTGCCCTTGGTAGCCAGTATCATTCCAGGAAAGGGAAAATGAAAAAGGATCTTTTGTGCAGTTGTAGTATGCTTGTGATTCCTCAAGGAAATGGCAGGAACTAAAATCTGGAATTGTCTTATTCAAGATATAGCTGTCAATAGTAGGTTTGGTAGAATACTGGACAAGCACGTGCAGTTGAACGTCCAAGCTTGGCTTTAAGGCCACCCTTATTGTAGCATATTGTGATGGGATTTCGACTTGGTGATACACAAAATGTCTTTGTTGTTTGGTGCTAAGTTCTAGAAAATGGACTGCTTCTGGGTTGTCCTCCTCCTTACTTACGTTGCTGGGAGACTGAGGATTAGGTAATTGAGGGATTAAAAGGTGGATCGGCTGGTTTAAAGCTGTTATTTCTGTCTTTATTTGAGTCCTCCTCTCGCTTTCTTTGAAAGTTCCATTGACACAAGTACTATTTATTTCATTGCCACAGATTGTACTGTTTTGTGGTCGCGTTGTTTTTCGATTTATACGCATCTCAATCTTGATATCTAATACTGAAGAATTGATGGCACTGCTGGTTTCATGCCACAAATACGGGTTCATTTTCCACAACTGAATCTGTTGAATAAAAAATCATCTCTTAAAATCGATKGGCCCGAACCAAAAACTGACTGAACCTAAGTAAAGTAAYATGTGCATGTCATCTGCTTATGTTTGCATATGTACTTGTGGAAAGGAATCATGCATGGAGGCAAAGCAATAACAAATGTTTGATCTCAAGCAGTGCAAAAGTATTGAAAAGGCTGCTGGACGAGTTCAAGGTCATTCCTTCCAAAAATGTTGTATCATGATGTCAGTGTATTACTTGGCCTACCTTTAAGTCGATGAAATCATRATGCTTAACGTTATAGCCAACATCGTTTGTCAAGAGATTTCGAGGCAATAAAATCCTAGCACCATGAAATTCGATATGGACACCACTGTCTTGTATTGTCTTAGCACTATTTCTTGTCGCAATGATGTCAACAAACGGTGAAGTGAAATTGAAACTTGAATTTACTCTTGTCAAAGATGCCGAGATGCCACTCGTAATTTGATCTACCATGTTGATTCCAGTTTTAAGTGCACTGAGAGCCTAAGAATGCGATGATCCAGAGTAATGATAGTTCATTAGAGTATTGAGGCAAAGCTTTAAGGTTCATAAAGTGAGGATTTGGAAGTAATTATCAAGTAAGTAGTAACAGAATCTCATAAGGGGATTGAAACGTGTAGCACGGTCAGATGCTCCGGAATATTCAAARTGATTAGCATAATTTTGATACCATATTTGGGCCAAACATTTGAGTTTGAGATGAAAACAAAATGGCGGACAGGACGGCGGCAAAAAGTTGTCTCGTTTTAAATGGTTCTAAAATGTAGCTAAAATGCTCAAAAGAACTGAAAATCGTACAAAATCAACTGATTACCATCCAAAGGACACGGAATGAGGTATATTATTGTTCCAAATATGGTTGTAAAATGACTTCAGTTGATTTATTGGCGTTTTGAATATTCCGGAGCATCGAACCAAAGAAATGTACTGTTGCTACACGTTTCAATCCYCTTATGAGTTTCTGGTAGTAAATTATACTAAAGGTTACGCGAATATGACGTACCTTTGATTTGTTGAGTTTGTTGTCCAGTTGCATCGCATTATCATAAGCTTTTTCAATGGCAAAACCAATACCATGGAAGCAACGTGTAAACATATCTAAGGCCATTGGGGATGAATTAATCTTTTTCGATAAAAATTGAATTGTGATGTTTAATACTCGAAGAAGAGAAGCCTTAAAGAAAGAAAAACCGTTGATAAGCAGACATRCGGGAGGTTGAAGAAGGATGAAAGGGAAAGAATCGATGGTAGGTGATTTTATTTCAGTGGTGGTTTGTGGAGCTGTTAGTTATGGATAAGTATCAGGTTGCTGGATGTTTGATGAGTTCCTTGGGATTATATAATAAGTGTTTAGTTTAAAAAGTAGTTTAAGGGACTGCGCAATATTTATCAGGAGTAATAAACCAAAAAATCAARAAMGTTAATTACTACCCTCCTTGAAAACGAAATAAATTACACTCTGCCCTCCCCCCCCCCTCTGYTCCCCCCCTCTGGATTCTCCCCCCTCCTGATAACTATTGCACAGTCCCTAATGGTTGCCTGRTTGAGTGGTGGGATGGTTGGAAGTGTGTAGCTGGTTAGTTGTTTGGTGAGTTGACTGCATATTTGTGTACCTGGTTGTCAGTATTCTGACAGAGAGCAATAATGTAAATCAGTTTATCGACTTCTTCTATTTTTTTGACAGTTGCATTCTGAAACCCTTGAACAACTTTGTTTTGAACCTATATAAACATAAAATAGTAAGAAGCCCGCAATGCTTTTTTAAAGGCATTATTAAAATACAGAAGAAACTGAAAAGTGAAGATTAATGAACGTTCGGATTGACCTTTTGTTCCACAGCTGTTGAATTTTCCTGAAATAACAAAATAAACAATTTTGGTGTAGATTTTTTGCTATTGAACATAACACTGAAGTAGGCACCATATYGCCCTTTTTACCCTCATGTTTTACCTTGTCTTTGGGCTGTTCTTTGACAGCAGACAGTGCGGCAATGGCGATCGACGCAGCTGTACTGATGTCACCTCTCTTTATCAAGCTATCGAGGGATAGCTGATCTTCTGTTCCTCTTTCTAGAATGTCTAAAACCTCTAACATTGCAATTGGTTTAACCTAAATTGAACATACAATACTCAGTACAATAATCTCCTTCACGGTTACGTGCGCCATCTTGAAAAGTAGCCGTGCCTTTGCATCGAACTAGACAACTGTTGAGCGTGCAATGTAATGATAGATACCTGTGAATAATTGTCTGTAGATGTGAAAGAAGGTTTCTATAATTGCACGTTCAACGGTCGTCTCCCTTCGATGCAAAGGCACGGCTACCTTTCAAGATGGCGCAGGGAACCGTWATAATGACTACTAATAGCTCAATAAATTTGATGACCTTCTCCGATCTGAGGCTAAGCCTGTATTCCCGCAAAACYTAGAGTTTGAACCTTCTGGGAATACGGACCTAGCCCTAAATCATCGAAGAAAATTCAAATGTGTAGGTTCATTGTAATGCCAACATTTGTTCGTGCTTTCTTATGTTGTTGGTAAGSTCTTTGCGCAGGAGAGACTGTTGTCTACTAAAACAGCGGTTACTCGCGTTGAACGGGAAAAAGGCATATTAAGTCTTTTAAGAATGATGCATATACCTTTGTAACAAGGTCTTTTGTGTAGGTTTCTCCACCAGCATATCTTATATCGACAGAAATCTTCACACGATAATSGTCCTTMGCTCTTCCTACTGGTAAAGTTGTAGTCATGTTTGGCATAGTGCTATCTAATAATATTACACGTCCTTCGGTAGTTATCAGCAGGAAGCGATACCGCAGAGCAGAAAGGACACCATCTTCCCAGCCAAAGCATCGTACTTCATAAAATGTCCGAACAACTCTCCCCGTAGACGGAGTAATRGAACACGACCGAGTTGTATTTACAATCACAAATGTCATGCTACTTGACATTTTTTTCGCGGTATTAAAATGAGCCAAACAGGTTACGTTCAATGTACCAATTCCTGGACAAGTAAAATCTGCCAGTTTTAACACTGTTGCATTACGTTTGTATATTTTATCTCCAATACAAACGTCACTGRCTGGTCTGTTTTGATATAGAACTGCCCAAGTGTATGTACTGATGTGGCTGCAAGCGCTTCCATTGCAAATAGCTTTGAATATCATTGATACGGACATATTGGCACGAAATCCACAAATGCCATGACAGCTGAAATGGACAAACAAAGCAATCGTGTTTTAAATTAAATAGCAGGGGCGAATCCAATATTATTGTTAAAAGAATTGTTTTTTCAGCTAAATGGAAGGCCACGGCCCCTTCGACTCCCTATCAATCCGACCCTGTATAGTGTGGTCAAATTATGTTGACGGAAACCATTCAAGGTTAAAAATRTTTGAACATTTCTTTGATTCACATTATTTGCTGCAAACCGCATTTCAAAGGTCAAATATTAAAAAATAATTAAAAAACACCTCTTTGATCCCAAAAGTCGGCGATTGTTAGGCCCTCGCCCCCCTTCCCAGCCCCATCCTACCACCCGCACCCTAAAAAAATGATTCTGCCGTCCCTGCTTAAAAGCCCTGCAAACGTTATTCCCTTACCTTATYTCCAAAAGGGGTTCCTTGTGCACCTTGGGGCGTCTAAAACGTCTGCTCGTCTTCTTATACAATCCCCCATAATACTTCGCTTCTAATGTCAATGTGTAATAAGAGCCAGTCATTATTTTATCTACTTCRATCTTTATGTGAGAAAATTTAGTGGTTGTTCCTAATACTGCAGGCTGACTGTCCAATGAATCATCTAGTACTGGTATGTTATATTTCCCATCAATTTGACACGTCCAGGTAAAGTTAAAACCGTGGTATCCATTCCACTCTTGTAATTTAAAGTAGGAGCCTTCAGCATTGAAGTAAATGTACTTATTTCCTTTTAGGAAAAAGTTTCTTCCTTTGATATTCACATAAAGTTTWAATGGGATTYTTTTCGGCGCAATCCGAAGAAAACCATAATCGTATGTTTCCCCTACGAGTGTTTTATTTGCATTTAGTAAGGATAAGCACTCTAAGTAGGCAAAATACGTCCTGCTATACAACCACAAAGGAAGCTTCCAGATTTTGACAGTTCTATTGGAGGTTATCAAATGATAAGAATACGTGAAAAGTCCAGTTTTCCAGTCGACTSCTGTTATAGAGCAACCTAACACTGAACTAACGAAAAYGTAATCGCATCTTTTTGTACTGGTGATGTTCAATATTGAATAACTCTCTCCTTTTACATTCTTTAGATAACGTGCCGTATAAGGATATTTGCTGTTATTTAATCCAACGTTGACTGAAGATGGAAGGCAGTCTTTTTTATCTATGAAGAGATTAGTATAGTATAGTATTTGATACATTCCGGCATTCGCCTTTCAAACATACTAAAGCATCTTTCTTAAACCCGTCAGACAATGTGTTAAAGCCAAATATGTGATACTGAGACACTATGCATGGTTGAGTGTGCAAACCAATATAGTAGTCAACTATTACATATTATATAGTGTATAACTCTTACTTGGATAATTGACCGATAAGTAGCTTGGATCGAAGAAGTTATCTGTTCTTTGCAACTTTCTWAKCTCGTTCAAGATGTTTCTTTGCAAGCTTTCAATGCAATGGATTTYAAGTTCAGCAGCCACATACTGGGTTTGATTACGWTTTTTGGGACTAGAAAACGATTATAAATAAAGCAAACTTTTATTTTATTGTCAAAAAAACACCAGCAAACTAACAAAAAGCAAAAAAGTTGACTAATGGTCTGGATACGAACTTTGTCCCATAACTGGATACACRCCTATTTCAAAAACTTTGAAACTTTGAACAGCGATTGTTGAAAGGAGATTGCAYGACCGAAATATATAGAAATGGAGACTAAATTGAATATAGAAATGRAKACTAAATTGAGCCAATATTTACAGTAAAAACTAATTGTTTTTATTCAATTAGCAAAACCCATGGCTACTTTCTGTCATGCAATCGCCGTTCGACGATTGACATTCGCCATTTTACCCGATAACCATTTTTGAAATAGGTATATATACTCATAGCTATGCAACCAGTCGATTTGTGTGCAGTATGTGTGCAAGTGGTGATATACTACAGTGTGTAACACTAACCTGAAACGAGATAGCTTTATTGCCAAGAATCCACGTACATGGTCTAGACGTTCAGATACCTGAAAGGSGTTAGTAGAAAAGGAGGTTTTGATATAMATCACATCACGCAAGGGTGTAGTCTCTTGTAACAGCCGCGACTTCTGGTCTCGTCAAATTTCCTCCCCGAAAGTTTTTTGGGGGTGGAAACGAGGGTGGAGCGAGGGTKTTTATTGACTTAGGGAATGTTGAATGAGTTTACCTTGTAAAGGACCTCCTCTTCCAGCTCTCGGTACTCTTCCCTATGTGGATACAAGAATTGCATATAGAACCTCTTCTTCCTTATCATAATCCATGCAACGAAGTAGTAACCTTGTAAGCGAGAAAAAAAATCGACTTTCAATTAACAAGAAAAAATGTTGAAGGATTCTAGTACGATTTCAGAAATAGTTTGTGGTTTCTGTAGTGGAGCTCACCGAAGGGGGCAGATAAAAAGTGGTGAAATAATGACGGTACCTTTTGGTCGGTCATTCGCGATAGTTCCCTTCAAGTTCCCCTGCGCCATCTTGTAAGATAGCCGTTTCTTTGCATAGAAGTGAGTCGACCGTTGAGCGTRCAATGATACGGAAACCTTCTTTCACGCCTACAGACAATTATTCACAGGTATCTACCATTACACGCTCAACGGTCGACCCGCTTTGAAGCAAAGACATAGCCTTTCAAGATGCCGCAGGGRAMCKTGAAGGATACTATTTTCCCCGTCAGCTTTGGTGCAATGTAGGTAAGAGAAAAGCTATGTGAAGCAAGCACAGAATTATAACACGTACCTGGTTTACACCCATACAGCTCCATCCGAAACGCCACGTTTCTTCCTTGACTTGCCGTTGTATTTGCCATTATGACGACCCTCTGTGCTGTCACAGGRAAAGGCAAATAATTCAATTGGACTCGATGCCTATCATTGTTTCCACGAAAAACCTGTGKGAAAATAAACGCAAGTATGCCATCACTTTTGATTTGACATTCCTCGTCAATAAGGCCCCATGGTCCACAGGCATCCCCTTTCGAGCTTTTGTTTATGTGCGAAAATAGCAACAACAACAAAAAACCATCAAAAATATACTCGCTATTATCTCTTTATGCTCTATGAAAAGAGATATTGGTAAGATTCGACCTTAAAATCGACGGATGGAAACAATTGCATAAGGGTACTAGAAGTCACCTCAGTCGTTTGCATATGTGAAAAGTCTAAAACACGAGCGCATTGACTGCTGGTGGACCATGGTATGATTTGAATGTTAACTATTACCAATTTGTTTTGAACGAATTTGGTTACTGATTTAAGGCTTTTGGAGTTGCTGTCGGCGTAGAATATATTGAAAGCTTCCATCCATTCAGAAACGCTGTCATCTCCATAGCCTTGGGTAGCAATACTGGTAAAAACAAACGGCTCTAATAGGTCCACCTCTAGCCACACTGCACTTGTAGAATTGGGATTACTACGATATCCTCCAGGTTTATTGAGCCTGGCATTCTGTCCACCGTACATCATTTCGTTGCCCTCGTATACCGACGATTGCGTGATCTGATCGTCCTTGATTCGTCCATCTTCCATTCCAAGAGGTTTCTCGCATCCTGTTATTAAAAAAGTTGATGACGATGATTCGAATGATAACCATTGTTATTTTTTAAACTACATTAGTATTATTATTATACTATTATTTTCATAGATTATTGATCTATTATTACTGTCCTTATTCACGCAAGGCCCCCAATTGCCTCATAATATTGTTATTATGGATTTCGTCATAACGTACTGCATTGACATCAATAATGATTATAAGGTCATGAATTATCATCTTAAACAGCTGATATCCTTTATTGCAAAAGCGAAACGGAGGTTAAAATTTWTTTGCTTTGATGCGTCTTTATTACATTTCTTTCCTGGAAACCATCGTCACCACTGAAATTATTACAACGACCAGTCTTCTACAAATAATATCAATATAAGTACRGCTACCAACACGAAATTTAAAAAACAGGCTGGCATCAATAACAGATTAAATATTATAGCTATCATAGAACGCGCTCTCTGATTGGTCAAATACCATTGATTATTTCACCGGTAAACGCAAGGATGCGAAAATGCTATAATATAAAAGTAATAAACAACACATTTTCCTGGTAAATTAAACCACTTGGGATATTGGGCCACATCCCGCGTGGTTTATTTCACCAGAAACGCACGAAAACGTGTTGCTTATTGCTTAAAGAAACCCGAACAACATTTTTTCACTTACAGTTTACCTTATATTAGTGGTTAATTACGACTACACCTTTCAAAAATATCATGATACAAAACCGCAATATGACAGTGGGCAATGTTTTTTCTATATAATTTTTATAAGCTGAGAGCATATTCTAAGCATCGTATTTTATTCACAGACGAATTATTCAGACATTTATCAAAGGAATGGACCATTTTAGCTGATTAAACGCACTTTTGTGCGAAAAAGTAGTTATCTTGTTATATTCATACTCAAAGTTAGTGATATATAATTTTCGTTTGTTAATATTTMCTATAAATATGTAAGTGAATCTAAACGGTTAACGTTTCGAATAGATTGAGAAATACATATTTAATTGTACTTGGCGCTGCTGGAGCTTGCTTTTCTTTGAATATTGATTGTACAACTATTATAATTAGATTAATAATTCACATGGAAACTGCTCATATTTCTAATCTAGCCTGATTATCTGGATCATCTTCTCGGTGCCATATTAACATTGACAAATACAAAATATTAATAACGTGTGACAATTAGATTTTCTTATCTTATTTTTCATGTTTTTAAGTCTTCGATTACATCATATTGTATTTTAATAGTAGTATTAGACTTGAGTACAAAGTTTCGCGCGCGCTGGTTGTGGGTTGCTTGACAAGCAATATGCTCACTACCACTTCGAGGTGAATTGATTAAATATTTCAAGAAATTTGTGCGATTGATTTTTTTGGGTCGTTAAAGAGCTACCAGAAGACAGTAATTTCTGACTATCTTTTATTTGTATAATTCGAGGTGCATGTCCAAACAAAGTTTGTAAACTGTTCTGGTTGTTGATGACGGAATCACGTTTCGATACTGGCTCGTTTGAAAGATTGGAAACTTAAGTTTATAAGAACTTATAGCCGGTGATCCCTCGAGCTTCATGGCCACGAAAAAAACATATATATACTTATACTGGTGTTTCCAATATCATCTGTTATGGAAAAAAATGCCTAAACATTACCATATCCTCAGAATACGCTATGGGGGAATATCAAACTTAAAATCGTTCAGAAGGGTACGGTTTTGATTTTATCGAGCAAACCATCCACAATTCTGTTAATTAAAGTTTCAATCCACAATTCTATTTTTTTTAATGGCTGGAACGATAGGATAAATGGTGAGATTGAGCCATAGATTTCTTTCAAGCTTCAAAGATGTTCTACTGACAATTGTACTGAATGAAATATTCAAACTCTTCTTCTAAGCTATACGCCTATTGGCTGAATGAGTGCTTTCTTTACAAAACTGCTTTCTTGTTTATAGCCAATTTTGTCACGTTGAGTGTTAAATTTAGTATTTTAGGCGATTTGTTTCTAATATTCGAATCTAGAATTATACTAAAACAATTGTATTTGCCTCAGGCTAAGTGATTATCGTTCATCACTATACGAATAATAAGTTAAACAATTTATCTATTCTGTTGTATTTTTCCATACATCTAGTTAGTTATAAAAATCTCCTTCCTTTAGGTGATATTCTTACCTGGTATTTCTGGTATTTTGACACCTTCCACAAAAGTCACGATGATAAATATTTGCAGTAGGTACATTGTCTGAGTCTTTGCAATGTTGATAAGCATGTTCAATGTTAAAAGGAACTAAAAATATGAATAAAATAAAAGATAAMGAGAATTAAATGATAGCGTTCCATAACTGAGTGGAATACTTTACCATGATCTATAAGCGAATGAAAGTTTCTGTTGAGAATGATTTTAAAAACTGCGTTACAAAAATATAGAACCGATTTGGTATTTAAGCTGCCCTGTACTGCTTCTTTCTATATGCTGTCAAAAAACAGTGATCAATGCTTTAAGACCGTGCAGGTGCTTTCCGTAATAACTCAAATATACTAGCAATGTTACTATCCACAAGACAGCTCARGCTAAAATTAAGTGATGTGGCAAACGCATTTATTCTTGCAGGTCACTGACTACCTGACTGTGTATGCCTGCCAGTCAGCAGTCAAGTCGATGAGTAAAAATCGATGTGTGCACTAGCATGACTATATGACCCTCACTCACGGCTATAACTTCGGGCACTAGGTTAACAACATTCGCAATAAAAGTTTCAAATGGTTTCAATCATTCTTCGTGGGCTGCCCTCTCGACGGATGTMTGAGGCTCCATCGTTTCCTGGTTTCTACAGATCCTCCCAGTGGTATTCACTTCAAGCTGTGATAGTTCTGAACGAACAACAACGCCTAAAATGCTATTTGGACGAATCATGACGAAATTAGGATCAAATAAAAGAAAGATTCTATACAAAAAGAGAGGGGGAGATAGTAGAACTTTTTAGCGATGACCCCAATTTTACCATTATTATGAATCGTCAAGAAACAAATTAACTGAACTTGGACGAGTCCTCAGGGGAAGCCCTGAAAAAGAAATATCTATTTTTTCCCGAGAGCAGATCGCCTCTTCAATTTTTYTTGTATGTAAATTCAACCAATATRTCGATTGTGTTKTATTGAACATCACCTTACCCCAAACTTCAATCATCTGTTGTTCGTCATATCAAATCAACTGCAAATAATGAACTTGGCATAATCCGTCGCGCGRGTTTAAAGAATGATGGCTGCTAGATGACAAAGCTTTGACGTCCTTGATACCAATGAGAGTCAAACCCTGACAATTCGGCTTAATTTGAGCTCCCTATTGCCTTGACAAAAGCAAGTAGCTGAAACGTAATTCGCATGCATTGAAAATAGATCCTCAAGTACCAAATGGAGTAAAATGTGTCTGAAAAACTGTTAACTAAGTGATTTTTTACCTTTTCCTGATTAATTATGTATTACCGATTATTGCTCTTGTATGTTATTTCCATATTGACAAAAAAAAACATGTTGATTTTGCATAACATCTTTGTTTTAGAAGTACTACTTTGTAAGTTGTAATTTTGATAAAAAGTTTGCTGAAGAGGTCGACAAAAAAGGAAGTTGAAGTTCATAAGTGGCATGGAGCTTAGCACTTACGAAAGATGAAAGAAGGATGAAAGGGAAACGAAAGAAGAAAGAAAGGCAGGAAATAAAATGTATTGTCGTAAAAATTAAAGGTCGCGACAGTAATAGAAAGCGACTTAATGAAGAGATAAGGACGTAAGTGAAACCAGGAGAGGAGCAAATTTGCGGTTTAATTTCACCTTATTAAACACGTTTATCCCACCTTTTAAAAGTCATTAAAATTAGTTGTTTCCCATTKWGATTWAAACACGAACATTTTTAATAACTTTTTGCTATAATTGCGTTTTGGTCTGAAAGCTATTCGTCTGTGTAAATTGCAACAGATATATTTTTATTGATAAGTAGTTATTTCTGTAATGTAACTACGCATCGCCTCAGTTGAAGGCATCACTAAATCGCGATGAGACAACACGAACATCTGTTTATACYAGTTTTTCATTTTTTCAAGAGATGCTAGCATATCTCTTSTTCCCAAGTAGTAACACTTCAAAACAAGTCTACGCTTGAGAACACAACTCCAAGAATAACAATAAAAAACAGCAACCATTTACAAACAAGARCAAAAAAAGTGAAAGGTAGTGTCAAAATCCAGACAAAGCAAAATTAAAAACAGACGTCATAAAAAAAACACCACACAATGGAAATACATCAAACTACATCCAGTCTTGTTCACGAGAGGTTTATGGTAAAACCACTACAAATACATCAAACTACATCCAGTCTTGTTCACTAGAGGTTTATGTTAAAACCACAACAAGTTGGATTTTTGACAGAAAGCACACAAAACCTATAGAGAGATTCTCCCTAAATTGTTTTTTTTTAATTTTTTTTGTTATTTTTTTTAAATTTCAATTTCATTTTTCATCAATTTCACCAAAAAACGCCGGTTTAATCAATGTAAATTTTTGAAAGTTCTTCTTTACATTTTCATTTAACTTTGACGTCGCAGACTATACAGGCTATTTTTTTGTAGATTAGTGTCAGAATTTCGTCAATATGTTTTTTTCTTTGGTACCAGAAAAATCCTGACGTCAAAAAACATCATAGTCACGATTCGTGCCAGAAAATAACTGAACATTAGGTTATTGCCACATTTGTTTTGTTTTGGAATTTTGAGAAAATTAACCGGGTCGCTTTGGGTTTAACAACTGAAATTTATTACCAGTCGTTTGATATTAAATTTAAATTTAACTTTATTATTATCATTTTGATCAAGTGTAATYACAAAGTTTTCCAGTGACCTGCAATTATTTAAGACTATTCAATGGCAGGCCACTGTATTACAAATGTAAGAAAGAATGAATTATAAGTAAATATATTATATATAATCTCTTTGATAAATTATAACGAGAATTTTATGAAAAAATATTACAAATATAAATAGAAGGAAAAAAGAAAAAATACCATATAAATATAATCTTATTGGTAGATTATAAGAAAATTTATGAAAAAACAAATTAAATATAACAGCTAGATGAACGATATTGAAAAAGAAGAAAAAGGAAGAAAATGGAAACGAAAATGGAAACGAAAATGGAACGAATAAACAAGAAAGTAAAAAAAAAAAAAAAAAACTTTAGGATTTGAGGAAAAACCAGCAAACACTTAAAACCATTTGACATTAGATTTGATTTTGAGTATAGATATATTAAAAAACAAACTGAGATATTATATATGTAAACTTTATATCTTACCTGTTCTATTTGAAGAACTCGGGTAGAAAGACGACCACTACAGCAGCTCGACCACAACAGCCTTGTTTCCTTGGCTTATTGAGGCAAAGTAGGGCGTATTAAAATCCATTATTATAAATGACCACATTAGGTTACTTTTTGTTAATTACA